AGTTCCAACAGCAGTGTTTAAGCTGAAGTTATATGGCCAGCTCTCTAATAAATATGGAATAAATTAGAAATATGCTTAAGGGAAAATGTATTTCTCTTTAAAAAGTTTGAACTAGTGGAGTTTGGGGCAGAACAGCAGGGTTTAAAAATGAGCCTGATATGAAGAGTAAACGAATTAAAGCCAAACAAAACCGGCTAAGTCATGCACCAAACTCGCCCTGACTGTGTTAGTAACTTGTGGACATGCGAGTCTGTGGTTCACCCTGCAACAGCTCTGTGATTAATACCTCTGACAAAGCGGTAACTAATGATCGATTGAGAATGCTTGGCTTCTAAAGACCATTTCCCCTTCACTTACTTTGCCTTTTTCAAAGCTGTCTGATATTTTGATCACTGGCAGGGGCCATGTCAGTGGAATTAATCTCTAATTTAAAGCGTGAACCATCTCGTTGGCACAAAAGTCTCTGCACAGCAGGAGATTTTTTTTTTTTAAATGATTTATTAATTCTGAATTCACCTGCTACCGATGGGGCATTTACCCAGAACATATCCTGACTTCAGCAATCAGTACAAAGAAGGTAAAATATTGCTAGGTTGTGTTAGGTTCTTAATGTATAACTGCTGCAATGCTTCACTTCTTCCACAGTTTATGTTCCAGCCTTATTTCAAGTGTTGTGTACATTTGTTAGAAATAGTAATCCAACAAATGACCTTTATGGATGTATTTACAGTCTTTGCTTAATACTTTGTTGGCAGCAATTCAAGCTGGCAGTACTTTTAAATATAATGCCACCAGCTTAGCTCACCTGTCTTTTGGCAGTTTGACCTGCTCCTATTTACAGTTCTGCAGCTCCATCAGGTTGAATGGAGACATCTGTCAGCCATTTTTAAATTTCTCCATGACATCCAATCATGTTCAAGTCTGAACTCTAGTTAGGTTACTCTAGGACATTCACACAGTGGTTCTGAAGCCACTCTAGATACCTGGACCATGAGCTTTGGGTCGTTATCCTGCTGAAAAGTGAACCGTCACTCCAGTCAGAGGTCCAGATGCTATGGAGCAGTTTTTCATCCAGGATGTCTCTGGACATTGCTGCATTCATCTTTTCCTCTTTCCTGACTAGTCCACCACTTCATGCTACTACAAAACATCTCAATAGGATGATGCAGTCACCACCATGCTTCACTATAGGGACGGTGGAGCTTCCTCCAAACATGATGCTTGGGATTCACACCAAAGACTTCAGTCTTCGTCTCATCAGATCAGAGAATCTTGTTCCTCCTGCTCTAAGAGTCCTTCAGGACCTTTTAGGTACCTTCTGAAAGGTTCTCACTCTGACAGAGTGACCATCGGTTTCTTGGTCTCCTCCCTGAGTAGGACCCTTCGCTCCCAGTCACTCAGTTTAGGTCAATGGCTTCCAACCAAACTTCTTCCATTGACCAATGACGGAGGTCATTGGTCAGAAATGTTTCTGGAACCTTCCACAGATTGGTCCCCCAAGACAATCCTGTTTTGGACGACTACAGACAATTCCTTTGATTCCTTCTTGGTGTTTTACCTTTGACCTGCTGTCAGCTATAGAACCTCATGTAGGCAGACGTGTGCCTTTCCCAATAAAGTCCAATTAACTGAATTTACGACAAGTGGACATCATTTAAGCTGTAGAAACATAGGAAGGATTATCTGTGTAAACAATTCAGTGTAGAACTACTTGTTCTAAACTGAACATTTTTGTGTAAAAAATGTCGAGGAAAGTTGAGGAAAAACTATAACATAAGATAATGTGTAAAAAGTGAAGCAGTTGTGAATACGTTCCAGATGCTCGGTACAAATGTGTAGGAGGCTGCATGCAAGCAATACCAGCTTCGGTTGCTCCAACGTGCTTCTTCGTTTACTTCGATTCAAGATCAGCAGCGATCCCTGAGCAGTTACTTTATTTTATTTATTTATTGTTTTGTTAAGTAACACATTCATGTCCATCCACGGATATCCGACATGCTCCTCGCGTCCGTCAATGAAGACTCCATCCATACGGAGAAAGAGCAACATGGCTCAACATTTACAGCCTCATGCATTATGCAACGGGGGCTTTTAAGAAAGATGATTGGAGAATTCCCATCTGACACGCAGCTGCGGCATCAAAGCGGGAGTGGGAGGAGAATTAAATCGTACAGAAATAAATAATGGTCGACTTGATGTCTTTGCTAATTAGGATTTCTGGCGTTTGGGTCAAAAGGCCTTCAGGAGGAAAATGGAAAAAAAAAAAAGAAAGCCTCTGAGGAATAGGTCTGGGGTTTTAAGGTGGTGAAGCACAACAAGACACTGTTCTCTGACAAAGTCTTTTATAACAAGCATTTAAAATTAAATCACATATACAGCACCTTGTGGAATCCTACACTTTGAAATCTTTTAACGTCTTGTCACGTTAGCATGTTGTTGCACCCAAACAATATCACATCATTTTTAAGTGGAAGTAGAAGTTTTACGGATAAATTCTTTTTACAGAGAGTGACATATTAAGCGTCGAGCCCGCTTTGCTCCTTATGCCTACATAAAGTCTTATGACAGCAGTTGTGTGGAGGTCTCACAGCTCAGGTCTGCAGCCTTTACAACCTAAAGATCCATTTTTGCTGTCAGGCCAGCCAAATAAAACTCGTTTAGAGCCACAAATGTTGCATGCCTTTCTGAAAAGAAAAAATATCCTCTATGAAATATGGTATCATATAATTTCTAATTTTAGGATTTAAAATAAAGATTAGCATCAAATTTTGCAAAGAACATGGATAGATTATTTTTCTGTTGATGGAAATAGATGTAAAAAAATTAGATTAAAGAGAAATGGGTCTTAAAACATGCTTTTAATGTCATTCTTTGCGGAAAATCCATGTTATATCTAACAGTTGTTGATTCTTCATAAGTTTTACCCAAAGTAATTTAGAGACTTTAACAGATTATTAATCAGAAAAGCAGCACCAGTGAAACTCTGGAGGAGCTGCAAAGACCCAGCTGCTCAGGTGGGAGAATCTGTCGACCGGACGGCTACTGGTTTAGCCCAAAAAGATCAACATTTTCAACACCGTCGCTGTTAAACATGGTGGTGGCAGCATCATGCAAAGGGGATGGCAGTTTTCTGAAAGCAGGGTAAGGGAAGCTGGTTGGAGATAAATTTCAAACGATACTGAAAGAAAAACAGTTGACAATGAATGGTTTCTAACCCACCTCACAAAGCTGGAACTATTTTATAAAGAAGAATTGGTAGTGTCATACTCTATATTAGAGCTGAAATGATTAATCGGGTTAATCGCGATATTAATCTAATATTGAAATACAAGTAAACTAATTTAGTGATTGAATAATTGTTGAAATGGAGTATGCAGACACTAAAATATACTGAAAGACCAAATTTGTCAGAGCAGTAATATGTTAATATTGGAAGTATTTTTTAGCTCCAGATGCATCATTTGCCACAAATGGACAAGCATTCACCAATGGAATACTGCCATTGCATTTTAGGCTATAAAATTTTTATTTTTTTATCTTAAAAAAAAATCTAATTATTTGTTTATTTACATTTTTTTATATATTTTTCACGTTGCACAAAATATGCTTAAGTGGGAGATATGAAAAAGCTGCAGAATGTGTCCATTCTGCCACATTAACCCAATTAATTGATTAATTGGGTTAATTAATCAATTAATTAATCAGAATAATCGATTACTAAAATAATCATTAGACGCAGCCCTGCTCCGGATGCAAAGACCAAAGCTGCTGTAAGGCAAAACACTTGCAGTGGCAGCTGCAGTGAAATGTGGTTCTACAAAGTATTGACTTAGAATACAAATGCACACGACACTTTTCAGATTATAATATGAAAAACCCTGTATCACTTGTCTTCCAAATAACAATTATGATCCACCTTGGTCTGACATATATATATATATATATATATATATATATATATATATATATATATATATATATATATATGTTTTTTTTATTGAAGTTTGGGGGTTTTAATGTCACAAACTAAAGGACCTCAATGTAATATTTCCCCCTCTCTCACCCCCACGGTGAGACTCCGCTGCTGCCGAGTAGCTACACAAACACTAGAGGGCTCCCTCTATGGGCAGCTAAATGATCCCCCTCTGCTGTCATTCACACATACACACTCTACCGCGCTCACACACTCTTAATTCATCCCCGCAATGATGAGCCATGACCTTTTCACTAACGGTCTTAATAAGAGCCTCATCCCCTCCCACACCCCCACTACTTCTCTTTTGCTAGCCAATAATTCGTTTCTTTCTGTTTTATTTAATGTATGCGAAGAGTTTTTCCCTGTTTAAATGCAGAAAAACGGTGCAAACATCATGTTAAACCCGGAAGGACAGAGGAGTCCTTCTCTTTCCCTCTCAGCCTCCACCGCGTGTCCATCTGGTCGCTCGTGAACCCGATCAGATGACTGGAAATGAGCAGCCGCGCGCGGCTTTCTGCTTGTCGGAAAACTCACGCGCCGTAAAAAAAGAAAAAAAAAAGAAAAAAAAAGAGTAACAGTGAGGATAGAAACACATATATATTTTTAAATATCTACAGCTGACGCTTTGAACGTGAGACGCTAACCTTCCTTTATTATAATTATTATTATTATTAATCTGCGTCCGTGGCCGGTGCTGAAGCGCCGTGCGTTCGTTCATTTGCGCGCCTGTTGACCCGACTCCTCATCAACCCAATGAGCGCAGCGGAGGGAGGTTTCTCCCCCTCTCTGCTCCTCTCCTCTCCTCCTCTCCTCCTCCAGCGTGCAGCTCTCTCCTCCATCTCCTCCTCACTTCCCCAGTCGGCCAGCCAGCCTGTCGGAGCTCCTCTAACTGCGCGCAACCAACACCGTGTCGCTCCGCATTGACAAACTGCAGGACGGATTTTCTTTATTTATTTTTCTCTTTTTTATTTTTTTGTTGTCGGTCAGTCGCTTGTTTTGCACATTTTGTTTTTTTTTTGTTTTTGTTTTTGTTTTTTGGGGTTTTTTTTCTTTTGTTTTTTTTTTTTACCTCGGAGGGAAAACCCTAATGGAGTTTTTGGCGTTTTTTGGAAGGCAAAACGCTAAAATAATGCAGCAGCGGGAAAGGATCCGAGTCTCACGAGTAAGTACAACCGAGCCACCATTGCATTAAAAAGCGAAGCTCGTCAGGTAGGCGACTGACACCTTAATACACGGTGAGGCTGAAGAAGACTTCTCTTCTCCTATCTGAGCTCGTTTCAGAGATTCCGTCCCCAAACCCAGCAGGTCTGCAGAAAGGTCTGCAACTTAGCTTATCTTTTTTTCCCTCCCCTCAACTCCTTCCTGCGCTTGTCATGCATGCCGGCTGCATGTGGATGATTCCCCCGCAAATCGGACCGCTTGTGCGCTCCAGTCGCACAGCTGATGCGCAAAGACGAACTCAAACTTCAGAAAGAGTGAGAGAGAGCGCTGTTAGATGGTACAGATTCAAGCCGGCGCCTCGTACTTTATGAATTTGATTTAGAAACGGCAGCAATAACGAAAAAAATAAAAATAAAAAATCAAGCTTGTGCGTTTTCCCACCTTGGACAGCTCCTCTGGCTGCTGCCCGGCGTTCCGTTGGCGCCCGAGCCGCCAGGACTCGGCTTGGCTGCCGTCGCCGGGGAGCTGTCCCTCTGTCCCTCTGTCTGGTGGTGCTGAAATGCATGCTCAGGTTCAAACTGAAGTGGATGCAAGAGTAGAAAAACGCAGTGCAGATTGCATTTAAATAATTGTTGTAAAATCTTGACTTAGGAGAATTTTTTAAATACATATTTCTTTTGTAATATGTAATTTTTGGTCTCCAGGTCATAATATACACTTCAGTACTGTTGCTTTGGGCTTCAAATAACTGTCCTTGGAAATGCAGTAGCCTTACATTATAGGGGCTGTAAAAGTTCCTGGGAACTGGAAACAGTCTGCTGGGCTCAGTGATATCATCTGCATTAGTTTTTGGTCTTTATCCCTGTCTAATGAAATCACACCCAGCTGGTAAAAGTTAAACCTTTAAGAGAAGAACTCCAGCTTTGCTTTATCAGATTGTCTCATAAGAAAATTTGCTTCAAAAATATTCAAAAACATCAACTTTGTGTTCATGCTTATCATGAAAGAACACTTCTTTTGTGATATTCTATATCTGCTTCAGTAGGTAAAAACTCCTCTCTGCACCCTTTTTTTGGGGGGGGGGTCAATAATCTCATCTGGTTTCTTTTGATATCAGAGGGCTGCAGTCCTGTCGACATCGCTCCTCTGCCTCACCTTGGAACTTAAAGAGCAGGGGAGGAGGAGGAGGGAGCATCTGAGGAATCTGCCTGCAGTGTGTGAATGTGCTCAACCTGTCACAACATCAATCACACGGAAACACAAGAGTCCTCAAAATCTGACCGGGATAATCCCCCCAGAACGACAGATTACAAACGTAGCAATCTGATATTGTGAGGGGGGGGCAGGGGGCAGAGAGTCTCGGAGTACGGTTATTCTTGTTCTAGGCAGGATAAGGTGAAAAATTAGATGAGGATGTTGGGTCAGGGCCGTGTTGCTGTTCCTTACAGCTCCCCCCTCCCAAACACCTTTCCACTCCCTTTAGCTATAACTGTCACACATAACTTGTTCAAATGTTTTGTCGACTTCCTCGCGATCCTCCACGAGTCCGAAGAGACTAACAAACTCTGATTGCTCCCTTTCAGGTCTTCCCCTTGGAGTAACAGCCAATGGACGCCACGCAGAGAGCCTCACCCCCCTCGCCAACTGCTATGGAGGCACGCCAAGCCACGCCGGTGACCTTTATCGCACCATGAATGCAAGCTCTGCCGCTCTAAGAGGACACAAGTAACCTTTTCTTGTTATCTAAGAAGGAGCTGTTGATCTGAAGAGAGAGGAGGGGGGAGGCGGGGCAAGAGGTGGAGAGAGGAGGAGGAGAAGAAGAAGAAGAAGAAGAAGAAGAAGAGTCCAGTAAAACAAACAGTCAAACAAGCAAAAAAATAAAAAATAAAATAAAACAGGCAGCGACAGGATGCCAAAGAGGTCCGAGGAGATGCTGGTGGATCTGTGGATGTCCTTGCTGCTGGTGTGGATTACTTGCGTCCCCTCCGTTTCCACGACCCCCGTTGGGGGCCAATCCAGAACAGCACAAACCGGAGGGTCGGCGGCGGCGGCGAGCGGTCTTGGCGAAGGACAAAGATTACTGAGCCGTGCCAAGAGAGGATGGGTTTGGAATCAAATGTTTGTGCTGGAGGAATTCTCTGGACGGGATCCAATCCTGGTTGGCAGGGTGAGTGTTTGTGATTGTCAGCGTTATATTAAGCTTGCTTATCGTGTGCAAACATTAATTCGGCCCGTCTGAATGGGTCCGTCTTCCTCCTTGTTTCGTTCTCTTCCCAGTGGGCAGTGGGAGGGCTCAGGGTGTCGGAGACGGGAGAGGGAGGGGGAGACAGAGATTTGAGGACGGAGGCCGAGAGAGGACAGGGGAGGGCAGGGGTCTATACGGACACAATATAATCTACATTCAGGCAATAGTTTCACTTTTTTTTTTTTTTTTTTTTTTTTAGCTTATGCCTTTGTATGCCCTTGAAGCAGATTTCTAGTTCTTCCCACAGTTTCTGCAGGAAGAACCTTCTCTCTTCCCACTTTGCCACATGAAGGCATGTGTTACAGATTATGCATGGCACAGGAAGCACGTAGGGTAGGTTCCATTTTCCATCCTGCAGCTCGGGGCCACCTGCTCCCCCCGGCCCTGCGTCGAGGTGGAAGGCTGCTGGCCGGCCCAGCCAAAGCAGCTTGTTCACAGCTCTTTGCTGACTTTCACCTGGGGAGAGCCAGCCTGGCATCCTCACTTCCCTCCCACCCGACAGTATCATCCAGCCACTCTGGCATGAGCAGGGACACAGGCCACCGGCCGCAATATTTGATCTCACTTGGTAATAGCCTTTTGCAAACAGTTTACCAGAATCTCAAATTGGACAGCAAGCTTGTATGGCCAATGTTGCTTATGACTCACTGGCCAATTAACTACTTTAAGCATCGTCCTGTGTTCCAAACCTTGTCATATGGCCTCATCAATTAAAGATTGGCCACCACATGGGGTTTGCACCTGTGTTTTCAGAATATCGTGCAAACGCGACACAAAAATGCTGTTAAGTGATGCATTAATTTTTCAGTCGAGTCATTTAGGCAAGCCTCCGCAGGATTCGACAATGGCTGCTCATTAGGATGCAGGAGGAAACAAACACTCACAGGGGCCACGGGGTCCGCACGTGAGCTTGGAACGCGAGGTTTCCGCCACAGCTGTGGGATCCTGAGCGTCAAAAGCTCAGGATATCACCTGACAAACTATTACATAATCATGTTTTTTTCTGTATTTTTTTTCTATAAATAAAGAACGAAAAAAAGAGAGAGAGACAAGAATTTGTGATTAACTGAGTTGAAAATGTTCAACAGGGAATAGCAGGTACAAAAACACTACGGTCCATATGGTGAGGGATGCTCTCTGTCAAGGCCTCTGCTAATGCAACGGAAACTTGACTGTAGGGCAGGTTAGTCACAGGTACCTTCCTGATGAAGGACAGTGCGAGGACCGGGTGCAGAACAGAGGGGTGCTGGGGGAGGGTGAGCGAGAGCTAGCCCTTTTGCAAAGCGCTGATGATGGGTTGCGTTCACTGCAAGGTTAAGTGCTCATGAGTGTGGCTGGCAGAGCCGAGATAAGTTAGACCAAGATGGCACCGCATTGGTTCAGGACTATAAATCTCCCTCTCCCTTTTCTGTACTTCTGTCTCCTTTTCTTTCCACTTTTTTTCCTCCCCGTGTTTCTCACGCTTAATTAAAGGATGAATCAAATGGGTGGGAGGTGGGATTCAAATGGGTCGTATAGCTCTTTGGGTGTTTAGCTAGATTTCCTCCGCAGCGTCTGCCGCAGACGATTATCAAGGAAGTCGAGGCAGAGGTTGGACTCCTTCCATCCCGGAGTTTGCTTATAGCCACCGAACTCCAAGCCTTAATTCGACTCCTCCCTAATCCGACGAAGTGAACCAGAGAAAGAGAAGGTGTTTGTGAGGAAGAGATCATCCCATTGATTTTCTTTTTTTTTTTATAATCAGGGTTCCATCTGCTGTGTTTTCTCTCACCACAGAGCATTAGCATAAAGACAGGAGAGCTGTAGATAGGGGGGGACTGGTGGGGACGAGGTATGGAAGACGGACAACTACAAACCACGACAGTACCCCTCTCTCACGGCAGCACCACCACCGCTGCCCCCAAGCCTTCGTTTTTCCCTTTTCACTTTTCTTCTTCAGCGCACTGTTTCCTGACATTGTGATTCAGTGAGTGATGTGCTCGTCGGCCCCCGTCAGTCCCGTTGGCGTCGGTCGAGGCAGACATGCAGTACCTGTTAAAGTGAAGCCGGGGAGACAGCTGTGAAAGCTTGTTGCTTGGCTGTAGCTTAAAATGAACACAGAGTTGGAGGGGATTTTAAGGATTACTCATCATGAGCCAAAGGTGCTTCAGAAATATCCCATCATTAAAAACAGAAATAGGCAAATGTGGGAAAGCAGACAGACTCAGTCTTCCAGAAGCAAGAAGGAAGCATGCATGCGACTGGAGCAGACAGAGAGCCCATAAGCAGCAGCTGCACAGGCTCAAGAATTTGTAGAGCCGGAATTTTTGCTCCATCGATGTCGTCTCAGTAAAAAAAAAAAGATAAAAGGTCAGCAGCATACAGTCTGCTTTAATGCATTAATGGTGATCTGTATCACAAATACTGAAAAATCTGATTTCTTTCTCTCCATTGAAGGCGTCAAAACTCCCACTGTTTCAGTGTGTAAGCACATCAACCTACAGCCTGTCCTCTGATGTATTTAATTTGGATAATCGGATAGAGGTTAGCGTCACGCTTTGATGCATGTATGGGAATATTTCTGTCATTTGATCTTTTTCTGAACATGCAGGACGTATTTTATCTTTTTAATGTGATGTAGTTTTGGAATCGGTCAGAAAAGGAGATGGTAGGCCAGAACTTGAAGCCGCTTGGATATTGATACCTACCGGTAAAACTCTCATCCTTCCTCTCCAAACGCCGATCAACTCTAACTTCCAAACACACTGCAGACCCATTCAATTAATTGGAATATTATTGAAAAGTCAGTTTATTTTAGAAACTTTATCACAAGTGAAACACATTACATAGATTAAATGCACACAAATGGATGTTTTCTACCATTAATTTATGCTAATTGTGATGATTTTCTGCTGACAGTTAATGAATAGATGACATTTAAAAATCAGAATATTACATCAGACCAATAAAAAGAAACATTTTTATGAGATAAATGTAGACTTAATGAAAATTATGTTTAATACTTGTTTAAAGGTTGTCAAGTTTTAAAAAGTACTTTTATTGTGACAACTTTATTGAATATGACTGTATAAGTGGAAAGAAATAAGTTTAGGGTTATTAAACTTATTTCTGGTTGTCAAACACATCTGTCTTATTTTGTCCCAATTCTTCTTCCCTTAAACTTTAAAATATGAAGAAAGTATCAAACTGCTGGTGTCATACTAAGGCCCCAACACTCAGTCTGCGGTTCAGAAATGATTTGCTATCACGCTGTTAACACCCAAACCTAATTGTAACCTTGGTGCTTAACCCTAACTTTTAACACATTAAACACAAACTACTTTGAAAAATGGTTTAATCTGAAATTGTTTAATATCCTATGTGGAGAACTTTGCATACCAAACTGGAAAGAGTGAATATGAATGAAGTTTTGGACTGTAAGGCCTCAGACTGGTGCTTTTTAAAGTTTGCAGCAGCATCTTATCTACCTGCTGGCTCTGACTCGGTATCACACGACTCCCAATGAGAATCTCTCAAACTGCTCAGATTCTGATTTTTGTCCAACAAAACAGGAAACGATTTTATCTCCAAGAAACCCCTGGGTCCAGACTCTGCGTCTGATCCGAACCGCCGGCCTCTTCCTCCTGCCGTTCTGCCTCTCCAGTCAAAAGCTGCTTCAATTATTAAAACATACAACGACACAACTCAATTACACCAGGCCATTAAAGGCAAAACACTGTGTTGGAACAAAAGACAAACAGCGTGCAAATTGCTGCGTTTGCACCAAAGAGATATCCGGATGTGTTCCTCCTTTGTAGTGCCTGGCAGATTGATGGTAGTCTGCACTGAGATTTTTTTTCATTTTTTTTTCTAGACATGACTTCTCTAAACTCCTTTACTTCAGATCATTTAACACGGATCCTGTTTGGTTTGCTAATGATGGATTCCAGGACTGAAATGGAGTGTAGATGCACTAATCTGACTGATCCTTCATCCTATTGTCCAACGCTTTCATCCGCTGCAGCATTGTGTGTGTGTGTGTGTGTGTGTGTGTGTGTGTGTGTGTGTGTGTGTGTGTGTGTGTGTTTTTCCACAAAGAGAATCGGTAATCAACCATTAATATTCATCAGTTCAGACTGAAGTGTGAGATTGCAGGGAGTGACAGTGATGCAGTCCAAAAAAAAAAATAGTAAAAAGCTTTGATTACTGATTCAGCAAAGAAAATGGATACGTCTGTAAGAAGGGGGGAAATGGCTTTGTCTTTCCTCATATGTGTTCTGAGGAAAAAAACATGGGATTTATCGTTTTTAACAAGCTGCTTGAGAGCATTCTCAACAAGACGGAGGGGGGACAGCATCAGGCTGGAGCGGATCTGGAAGTCTGCTGGGTGCTTTTTTGCTGGAATTAAAGGTGATATTTTGTAGACTGCGCTCCCTTAAAAAAAAAAAAAAAAAAAAAAACGAACTCAAGAGGCATTTCTGGGACTGACTTCTTTGAAATGTTTCAGTTTAGTTTTTTCAATTTACGTGGTGCATTCAGGTGAAACCAATAAAAAGATCTGGGGGAGATTTAATTGGTTCAGTGTGTTGTAAAAGCAGCTGCTCCTTGCGCGTGTTTATGTATTTATTGGATTCTGTATCTCATAAAGTAAAATTTTCACAGCTCATATGAGTCGAGGTTTTAATTGCTTTTCGTTTTGTGTTTACCACCTGGCTTCGGACTGTTAATGCGCCAGCTTTGTCCAGGATAGTGTATAAAACTTATTTCAGACGTTATTGTTTGATGCTCTCTACTTTTCTCGGTCTAGTTAGCGGTACTGATGTAAACCGAGGGTTAAAAACCAAAACTTCACTTGGTGTCATTTGTGCTGTTGAAAGTATTTTAATGATTGGTGTTTTCTCTGGCTTGTTAAAACATAATGCACCCCAACGTCAACTTGTTGC